GGCCATCAGCGCTCGAGCAATGGGGCCAGAACTCGAGAGACTTTCACTTGAGAAAATCAAATGACGACGCGAGAAAGGCCTTTGTTTCAAGTGCGAAGTGAAGTTCACACCGGGCCATCGATGCAAGCAGGCGTTCGTAATCGAAATCATCGATCCGGCAGAAGAGGAGTGTGAAGATGAGGAAAACATAAGAAGTGAAGGCGAAGTTGAGGTGCTTGAGGAAGAAGTTGAAATCTCGATGCATGCCATGGCTGGGACTAGAGGGCCAAGGACGATGCGACTACCAGCATGGGTCAAAGACCGTCGAGTGGTCATACTTGTGGACAACGGGTCATCACACAACTTCATCAATGCCGACTTGTCTTGGAAGTTGAAGTTGTCGACCATGAAGATTGAGCCCTTTGAAGTTCGAGTTTCCAATGGTGAGAGGCTAAGATGCACTGAGTCTTTTCGTGAGGTGCCGATCAAGTTCCAAGAGGTTACGGTGAAGGCGGACCTCTATGCCTTACCTCTGGTCAGATCCGACGTTGTTCTAGGAGTGCAATGGCTCGAAGGATTAGGAAAGATGACCACCGACTACCGAACTGGGATCATAGAGTTCAAATCTAGAGGGTCAACGAGTCACTTTAAAGGCTAGAGAGAAAAAGGGTACTAAGGAGGTTGGATTAAAGAGCCTCGAGAGGGTTTGGCGAGGAGGTGGCCAAATCTTGGCTGTGGTGATCGAGGACATGAGCGCCCACAAGGACGAGACCGAGCAGCAGCAAGGCGAGGTGCGCGAACTTCTCGAGGAATTTGAAGGAGTACTGGGCAAGCCCAAGGGACTTCCACCGCACCGAGAGTTCAACCACCACATACCTCTGGTCAACGAGCAGCATGTTGTGCACGTCCATCCCAATAGGTACACTCAATTTCAAAAAACTGAGATTGAAAGGATGGTAGCTGAGATGCTAGAGTCCGGGCTTATTCAGCATAGCTCAAGCCCATCCTCTTCACCCGTTCTACTAACTAAGAAGAAGGATGGCACATGGAGGTTTTGTACTGACTATCGAGCCCTGAATGCCGCGACTATCAAGGATCATTTTCCTACCCCTAGTGTCGATAACATGCTCGATGAGTTAGGAGGATCTAGCTATTTCTCGAAGCTCTATCTGAGAGCGGGCTATCATGAAATATGACTCCATAAGGCCGACATTCCGAAGACAGCTTTTCGTACACATCAGGGGCACTACGAGTATTTAGTGATGCCATTCGGGCTATACAACGCACCCTCTACTTTTCAATTCGCTATGAACTCCATCTTTAAGGAACATCTACGTAATTTTGTCTTTGTATTTTTTGATGATAGCTTGGTCTAATAAAAAACATGGTCAGAACATATTGAGCATTTGAGAGTGGTGCTCGAAGTCTTGGAGGCTAATTAGTTCCACATCAAGCCGTCCAAGTGTTCATTCGGGCAGGAGATGGTCGAGTACCTAGGCCATTTTATATCCTATGATGGCGTGAAGTTGATCCAAGGAAGACAGAGGCTATGGTGGACTGGCCTAAGCCAACGAGTCTCACGCAACTCCGAGGATTCTAGGTCTCACAGGTTACTATCGAAAGTTCGTGAGGGATTTTGGGACCATCGCCAAGCCACTGACTGAGATAACAAAGAAGGGCAGGTTCAGGTGGACCGAGACTAGGGAAGAGGAATTCGAGAAGCTGAAGGGCGCCATGACCACGACACCAGTCCTCGCAATGCCAAGGTTCGATGTCTTGTGTTGTAAGTATTTTTACCAGAGTAGAAAAGATTCGTTCCCCGGGTCGTATCGCAAGGAAGGTTAGCTGGATTTA